GAAGGCCTTGTTAGGCGGCCCTCCCTGCCGTACGGTGTCGGCTTTGAGATATCAAGAAGATGGGGGTCCTGGTGTGCTTCGATCGGAAGAATTCCCCTATGGTCTGCCCACGTTGTCGGCTGCTGACCATCAGCTAGTGGTGGGGGACAGTGTTTTGCTCTTTCGCATGTTGGCCATGTACGTGCTTTGCGAGGACACTCGTCTGCCTAATGAGACTATGTTGGTTGTGGAGCAGCCAGAAGACCCGGCCAACTACAGGTCGTCGGAGGAAGTCGCTGAGAAGGGGTTCATGTCGATTTGGAGGACCGCTGAATGGAAGCATTTCGCGGAGGTCTATGGTGTCAACCTTGTCCATTGTGATCAAGGCCCTATGGGTCATCAGAAGCGGAAGCCAACCACTTTGGCCGTTGTTCTGGATGCTTTAACAGAGCTGGCTGATCTTCGTGGACCTCCTGCTCGCGGCTTCGTCTCCAGATCGTCAATCCATGTCTGTGACAGAGCGATGTGCAGAGTCCAAAACATGGGCGGCTCGGGCGCCTGGTTTGAAGAGCGCCATTGCTGCGGCAGTTCGTGACAGGTTGAGTGGCGCTACGGCTTCTGCTTCAATGACTTCCGTGTCTCTGCGACCTCTGGGGCAGGTGGCCTTTATACTCATGGCGTCGCCATTACCTCAATGACCACACGCCGGCGCGTCGCGACTGCAAAGCATTGTATCAAGTCCACCGCTCGCAGCAAGCCTCACCGTCGCATTGTTCATCCAGACTCGTTCACATTGAGTGTTGATCTTTCTGGACGCATGGTTCCGGGTCGTGACCAAAGTCGTCATGAATGCAAATACATGATGGTGGCTCTGTATACGTTCCCAGTGACTCGAGCTGGCAACCCCTTGGTGGAGATAGTGGCACCAGCAAGTGACCCATTGGCCCCCCCCCCGAACAGGGACTTGGTCCTGCCAGTGACATGGTGGATGAGGAGTACACGACCACTGAACCTGATGGAGTTGATTGCGGCGAAGTCAATCTCATGGCGGAGGAGGCTCATGGGGGTCCGGGGAGGATGGTGACGCTGGCGGTGCTGATGTTGGCGCTGTGGCGGAGGATCATGTTCGTCGGGGAGAGGAAGCATTTGATGAATGGTGCAAAACTGTGGAGGATGAGCAGGGATTTCGGCACCGGTTCGCCGCTGGACTTTGGACAGAGGTATTGTAACCACCCTGACATCTGGTGATTCCTTCAAATCCAACGGCCGAGTCGAGGGTGAATTAGGAGTCATCAAGAAGCATGTGCGGACCATGGTGACCACGGTCGATTTGGGGTTGGATATTTGGCCCTTGGCTGCAACCCACATCAGGGAACGCCGGTTGAGGGGCCAACTGGGCCATCTGGGATTTCCGGTGGGACCACTCCTACGTTTTGGAGCTCGTGCTTTTGCCTTGAAGAAATCCTGACAAGATCGCTACCAACCATGGAGGGACATCAGAGATGAGGTTCGTATCTTGGGTCCTTCAGTTCAGTCCTCCTTGACCACAACCAGCTATTATGCGCAATCGGTCGAAACTTCTCGGCACTTTTTCCCTGATGATGTGGTGATCCCAGCAGCTGATCAACCGGAGGCTGATGAATGATGGTACACCTGCCTGAACTCCCTGATCAACCACCTCATGCCCTGTGGGACGGTGGTGTTCCCAGAAGGCGGCTCAGAGAAAAAACAGCCATTCCGCAATTGTCCATGCTGCACATGGAGGGGGAGGCATGGGTTCAACGTTGGCTCTCTGTGCATCAGGATCATTTTGACCCCATGTCAATGGCGGCGCTTGAAGCGATTGAGGTGAGCAGCGACAGCTGGACCATCGAAACACTCGACTGGAGGAGTGGAGAAGGCGGAGGCGCCTAACAACCAGGACGGTGGCTCATGCCTGGTGGCCTCACCAAAGCAGCAGAGGGCATTTGGGAAAGCTCCCACCACGAAGGTCCAGTTTTTGCGCAAGATCCAGGCCAACCTGGCCGAGTACATCAGTGAAGAGATGCAGCATGTGGATGTCACTAACCATGAACAGGGGAGTGCTCACGGGGGCGATCATGCACAAGATCGAGGCCGAAGAGATTCTCCTCAAGGCCGAACATGAGAGCCAGTCGATGGGGCAAAAGGAGCTGGAAGAAGAGTTTTTGGTCACAAAGACGATCAGCTCCAAAGAAGTCCATGAAGACTTTGAGAATTGGGCGCCTTCGATCACTGCTGAGTATAACCAGCTGGTTCACACCAAGGAGGCGGTGGAGCAGATCTCTAAGAAGGCTTTGAGGCACCGAGCTGAGCAGGAGAACAAGACCATTGAGATCCTCCCTGCCAAGATGGTATACACCCAGAAAGCGGGTGTAGGGGCACGGCGCTCACGAGCCGTGCGCTGTGGCAACTACTCAGAGACAAGGTTCCATGGCTACTGTTATGCCGGGGGGGCTGACGGGTGTCAAGTTCGAGTCTTGCTACGAACGGCTGCATTGAAAAGGTGGTCGGTGGCAGCTACAGACATCAGAGTTGCTTTTCGGAATGCTCCTCGTCGAGAAGACGGGCGCTTGGCGGCGATGGAGATTCCGTCGGTGTACCGGCGACTTGGACTGCAAGGAGGACGACATTTGGTTGGTCCGCCTTGCAATGTATGGGTTGACTACATCGCCACGGGACTGGTCACAATACAGGGACGCCACCTTGCCCATGATCACCTGGACTCGCCTTCGCCAAGGACGCGAAGTGAAGGGCTCCTTCATCAAGACGGCCGATGAGAATCTTTGGCGCTTGGAGGAGGTTGACCAGACCTCTGCTGAAATGGTGTGGTCTGGTTTGATGTCCGTCTACGTTGATGACATCTTGTTGTCAGGTGAGGAGGAGGCAGTTGGTGCAGCTCTCAAGGCCTTGAGCTCCACATGGGCCACTTCAAGCGCTGAATGGGCATCGACCACCAATCCGGTGCATTTCTGTGGCTTTGAAGTGACTATGGATGAAGGTGGAGGTGGGCTACATCTGTCACAGAAGAAGTATGAGCAAGAGCTACTTGCTCGATGGCCGGTGGGAGATCCCTGACCTTTCCACACTTTAAGATTGGGGAGGAGGATTGCGAGCAGCAGGCGGAGGTGGACAGAGCTCAGATCCGTGAAGCGCAGGTCTTGGCTGGTTCTTTACTTTGGCTATCGACCAGGTCGAGACCGGACCTGGCATACGGTGTTGCTGCTGTCAGTCGTCTGGTCACATGAAACCCAAAGAAAGCCATCGAGATAGCTCATGCTTTGCTTGCATACATCAAGGGCACTCCTGGGGATCTTCGTCCACTGAAGTGAAGGACAAATGGGGTTCTCGCAACCAGCTGAAAGTTCAACGCCATGGCAACCTGCTGGAAGTTTTTGCTGACATTGCCTATGGTTCAGGAACGGGCCATAGGAGCATTCAAGGTTTGGTTCTGTGCATGGCAGGATCTCCGATAGCATGGCAGAGCTCCACTCAGCCCTTTGTGACTCACAGCACAGCTGAGGCAGAACTTGTCTCCTACTGCGAGGCGTTGACAGCCGGACGGGCTACTGAAGCCCTTCTTTGTGCCATGTGGGGGGAGCCGCTGGTGAGTGAAAACACCTTTGAGCGGATCATCTATGGTGACAACGCTGCCGCCATTGGCCTTGCTCATGGAAACAGTTCAACTTCATGGAGGACAAGACATCTTCGAGTCAGGTCCAACATCCTTCGGGAGGCCCTTGAAGGCCATAGCACGTATCCAGGCGGCCCTTGGAAGCTTTACCATCTCCGGGGGACTGAACTGGGTGCCGACGTATGACCAAACCGTTGGCAGGGCAAAGCTTCTCCGGTTTTCTCTCGGATCTGGGGATGCGAGAGTTCAGGGAGGCTGAAAACAATGAAGGTCGGGGATCTACATCCTGCTCAAGTCGACCTACAAGATCACCCTGGCGCGCTTCGTGCCTTGGTTGCTGGGAGCATGCTGTCCAAATGGCCGAAGCGCATGCAGAAGAAGGAGAAAGGGGTCAGGAATCGTCAACTTTCGAGCATCTGTGGACGTGTGGCTTGGTGCTAGTCGTCATTGGGGCAATCTGGGTGGCTAGGGCAGCCTGCATGTCTGTGCATTGCTGTCTCCGCCGATTGTGTTTGAGGGCTGGTGAACGACACCAAACAGGTGATAGCGAAGAGGAAGAAGGGGGTGGCTCTTCTACATCATGGCGTTCGAGGCGACCAAGAACGACAAGGGCGCCTACAAGAACGCTGAGGTCAGAAGAGGGGGCTGAAAAAACCTCCACAAGTGAAGAAGAAGCCGCGGTTGCTGATGCGGCTCCAGAGACAACAAGGATGCAGAGTTCATGGAGAGATGACACCAGAAGGGGTTGTGAAGTTCAGAAGGAAGAGCAATTGCAGGTGTCTGACCGTTCGGGTGCAAAGCTCTCGAAGGGTCAACCAAGCTCGCCTGGTCCTAGCTCCTCTTCATCCAGACCTTTGAGACGACGGTCTGTTCAGCCGAGTGGATCCACAGATCCTCCCAGTGTCTTGGCTGAAAAGGCAAGTGGAGCGGCTGAGAAGGCTGCGGAGAGTGCGCATAGAGCGGCGCGGGCGGCTGACCAGGCCGCCGAGCGAGCTGAGGTGGCATCGGCGCTGCTTCAAAAGGTGGCAACGCAGGCGGGTCAGACAACGACCCAGCTGGTGGATTTGAAACCTGCCAATCCGTGGAACCGCTTCCAACAGGAGAATGCGGCCGAAAGGATGCGGGCTGAGTATTATAGAAGTAAGACACTCAGCCATAGAAAGATGCCTTGAGCTGTCTCTTTGTACTTTTCCAGCATTCGCGAATCCGCGAAGGGGGAGTCTTTGGACAGGACATCGAACGAGCGGTGAGACCATCGCAGGCATTTTGTACCAAGAGAAGAAAACAGGACGTTGCCCGAGTGATCTCACAAGACTGTAATGCAGCCCTCTGCCATACTCCATATTGTTATATTGCGCCCAAGACCCGCCTTTTCACAAACTCGCACGGGATCTTTCAAGGGCCCCAGCACCAGGTCGTAGTCATAGCTGATCTGCTGGCCTTCCTGCGGGCTGTGGGAAACAAACAGCTCGCCACAAACATTCCCAAACGGCACCGAAAGGTAAACTAGCAGGCCACTTTAAGAAAGCTCAAAATGTTGGTAACCTCCGTAGGTAGGTGGTTGCTTGTGGTTGACAATTAGTAAATTAGTACCGAGTTATCTTGCAATTTACTCTGAAGATTTTGGCACAGTGCCGCTGGACCCCGAGACTTGCCAACCAGAGTGGATACATGTGGATACGATGGCCTGGGCCGTTTTCTTCAGCTCCTCCTGGACGTATTTGCACAGGGCCTAGGCGTGAACACCCCTCCAGGCCAAGATCATCCATCCCTCCAGGTCGGCCCCACAGGTGGAAGCCATTTGGCCGGACGGAAATTGAATCCCATGAATCACAGTGGTCTCACGGTGAGTCTCACTTCACTCTAAGGTCCCCGACGTCGACAGCCTTCTCAAAGACTGGCTTGAAGTCTTCGGCCGCCGTCAGCAGTTGATCTGTGTTGCAAACCACCTCACCGCTCCCATGGGCTGATCGCATTTCGGGGTGTCTGATTCAGAGTGGTAGGGGCAAGGCTAACATTTCCAGGATGTCCAGGTTCAATGTTCAACCAGCAAGGCTGCTAGTGCTGTGAATTATTGAGTTGCATACATATACGGTGTGTATATAATACATTGAATCTTGATTCAGGCTTCAATGAACTAATAGTACACCTGCCTTTCAGCTCAACGCTTTTCATCCAAGGCCCACACCTTGGACCAAAGATCCTGGTTGTTGGTGACCTTCCTGGGGCGAGAGACTCCCGGCGCTGGTGCACATCAACCCAGTCACATCTGGTCTGGTTGGGAGTGTGGGGTCGTAGGGTGGTCCCGAGTAATCCTATATGGAGAAAGAGTGCCCAGATTGGTGGGGACGTAGGGAAGCTAGGCACGTCGCTTGTCGTCATGCTGAGGCTCTTCTTCTCAGCGAGTTCATAGAGCTTTTTGGCCAAGGAGGGCCCAGGCTTGAAGGCATCCGTGCCAGGGAACTTCTCCTGCAAACGTCTCAGGTCTGAGGCTTCAGAGGCGTCTGTACCTCAAAATGGGGGCCCGGAAATCAAATCAAACTTCTCCATCCTTTTGCCACTCATCCCTTCCACCAAATGTGTGCCTCATACCGAAAGGAAAGCCATGAGCCATGAAAAACGAGCAAATGATCCGTCACATCCTGTGCTTGAAGGCTTGAAGGCTTTTAAAGCGACTTGCTTCACTCTCCAATCCGAGCTCCTTCAACACCGCGTCCAGGTCAGCTGTGGGCTTCTTCTCCTTCAAGAGCTTGTCCATGACACCTCGACACCCCCGACCCCCTTCCTCAGCAGAATGTTCCGGTCCAACCTGGCAACATGCGATACCTATCCACTCTTGTCTGTTCTCAGGTGTTCTCCATCGGCGGAAATCCTGACCAAACCGCCCTAACCGTCCAGGACCTGAGAGGTGACCACCTCCATAGATGGTTGTCTGCGAATCTCCAGGTCGGCCCAGAATGTTCACCAAACAAACAGGGAACATTATAGCCTGCTTGAGCAGGATTCTGTGTCCATCTGTTTCCCAATGACCTGCATCAAATGCACAAGGAGGGAATCTGCCTAGCAACTCCGCAACTGCTGGGGGCCACCAAAGCACCACCGAGCCACGAAAGAGCTCGCCCGTGAAGTAGCCGGAGGCAGCCTTCAAGTATGCCGAGCTGGGCGCCGTTCCTCGCCGGAAGAGCCCCCCGGAGCGGCAAAGAGCCACGAAACCAAGGTGCTCCGAATTTCCCCAAGGCCCAAGAAATCGACTCTAAAGTGAAGTTCTGAAGGGTGAATTGGAAAATCAGGGTTCCACACTGCACCTTTGCAGTCCATGGCCAGGCGGAAGGCCCTGCGTATGGCCACCGCAGTCCATGACCAAAGCATCTTGCCCCCTCCTCCGCAACACCTGGCCTGTCGGAATGGCCTTGATCACTTGGCCTTTCAAGTGTTGAACCATGGTGGGATCCCAGCTGCCATCCTCCTTCCTCAGTGGCACGAGCACTAAATCAAGTTCAAAGGTCTGTTCGGGTCTATAAAAAATTGCCTCAGCTAGCAACAAACACCGGTTTTTCCACCCACACCCACCTCACACAGCCTGGTGGCCCTGAGATGCCCTGAGATGCTGAGACCAAGCCGCTTGAAGCGATTTACAGCTGGAAGCTGCTTCTCCATGTAGCGTCGGTCTTTTGGATCGGGAAAGGCCTCATGGTAATAGATGAGGTCATGCTTGGCCCGGATGTCCTCAGCTGTGCTCAGTGGCTCCGCGGCGAGCGACTGGCCATGTGCGATCGGCCGAATCCACGGACAGCATATCTGATCACCCACACTCCATGAAGAGAGTTCTGCCCTTCTGGGTTCATGCACAAACTGCACAAGAACCATCGCCATTTTAGCCACTGGAGCTTTGTTGGAGTGTTTTGGACACGGGTGTGCATGAAGAGTCGTTGTTAGAACCACACGGATTTCATTCAGAAAGTTTCAGAGGGAGGATTTTGGTGGCCTTCCATCTACGTCCATTTTGCATACCCTCTTGTCTCACACGTCCCCCTCAGCAGAGATAAGACCTCCACCGCGTCTCTGCAAAGCCCATCATCTTCTCGAAGAATTCATTCCCCTCACTCTGGACCTGCACGAGGGCCACGCAAACGACCAAAGCATGCGCATCCCCTGCTTCACATGTAGCCTGGATGAGTGGTGAGCCCTTTCTGGTGTCACTGTGCCCACACCGCATTCCAACATCCGGAGCTCCTGGTTCAAGATGATGTCCTTCTGCTGCTTATCCGACAAAGGCTTGAGGGACATGATGGCAAAGGATTGCTTCAAGGTACTCAAGTCAGCGCTGACCCCCTCCGGACGAGAGGTGAGGACCAAGGATATCTCCATCGGAACCAGGCGACGCATGATATAGCTCTGCAAGACGCCTTTCACATCTGAGGCTTCATCGATGCCATCCAAGAGCACCTGCAGCTCCAAGTACTCGCAGTCAAACCCTTCAAGTCGAGTCTGAAAACCAGGTGCTGCAACCAGCCGATGAGAAACGCGTCACACATAACTCACATAACTTATAACTATATAACCATGTGCACAAAAAAAATCTCTAGCCGTCTAGCCTTTCATTCCAAAGGGCATGAATTGGCAAACACCCCCACAAAACCAGGACCATGCCCAAAGGGCCCAAACCCACCCTGATCAGCACCGAAACCATCACCTTGGCTGTCCTGTGGCTAGGACGCTGCTAGTAGCTTCTGGCCATACTGCTAGTAACAAGAAGCTACTCATAACAAAGGGCATCGCTACTAGGAGCAAGGACGCTACCAGTTGCTCCTGACGACTTGCCAAAAAGACACGATCGCACTGCGAAGCCGCAGCGCCCGAACCAGGACGGCACAATACTCCTGGCCGTACCTGGTGATGACCATGGCCAAGCAAACCTCTCTCTCAACCCTAAAACTATGGATGTTTTACATCGATGCCGCTGTTGCCTAACTCACCCGATGCAGCCCAACTGGCCACCTTTTGCAAATCTTACCATCATCAACTCCAAGGTCTTCCAATGAGACTTGCAGCATTTTGTGATTGCTCGCTCCTACACAACTTATATATAATTGTGTAGGCGTGCCTACTTAATTAAGTACAGTAAGGGCTTAAGTTAGCTTCTAGGCAGGACGTACGATAGCTTACTAGCTCACGCTTCTTCAGAAGAAGGATAGGGGCCTGTGGGCGAGCTTCCTTGAAGAAGTGCTCGCACTAATCATTTGGTTCCTAGACTTGAGGGAAACTAGACATTGCTCAATCTAAGTTGGTCAGAGCATCATCGACACATGTTTTGCCTTTCAGGGCTAGGCCTGGTCGACACACTTCCTCACGTCACTGGTCAACTCTCCCAGCGAGTGATTTCGAAAGGGCATCTCAGAGAACTCTGGGAACTCTCCACACTCAACGAGAAGGGCACTCAATTTTGAACCCATCCTCCAACCACGGCTTGTCCAGGATCGCATTTTGGGCCTCGAGATGGGTTGTCAGTCGCTATTCGAAGACACCCAGCCCAAAGCCAGACTTGTCCCACAAGAGCGGGAACTACCACTCACTGCTAAATTCAAATGCGCTATGTCTGAATCACATGTTGTGATGGTTGCACAATCTCGTTCAGACTATATACTTGTGTCGCAGATCGCACGGCATCTCTTTCTTTGAAGGGTCTCCTAATTATCTAGTTCACAGGCGCCTTTTTTTGTTGCAATTGGTGCACGCCTTAGACTAAAGCTCAATAAACAGTGGATGCCGAGCCTAATGGCCTAGTCAATTGCCCAAAATCCAAAAGGTACCCATCACGAACGAAAGGACCTCTACAGGAAAGACAAGGATTCCAACAACAGCATACCACTTGCAGTGAAGAAATGTCTCACCCACAGCAAGCCGACTGATTGGACATGTACTTGCCCACCTGCCAACCACAAGGGCATAGGATCCAACAATGTTCGCTGGAGGCAGGAGATTGTGTTGCATGAAGGTTGGCGTCTACATACTTTGGTTGAGGGGCCACCTTCAAATAGGCCAACAAGCTGGTTCTCAGGCAAACCAAGTCGCTGCCAGCGGCAGCTTGTTGTACATAACGTCGCTGACTCCCTCTGCGCGCATCATACCTGACTGAGCATAGGTGACTCATGCAATAGACACACTTCTCGCAGGGTAGTTCAATCATTGTATCTGAATGAAAATCAATGCCAAGCTATGCTCTCAGAAAACCGCAACCAACAGGGGGACAAAGCATATCGACTATTCATGCCACATTTTTCACTCCTGCAGAGTCCATATCATATACAGCGGGCCAGCTCATGGATTGCGCATTGGCGTAGACAAATTGACGAAGCCTGCAGAGTTGGAGAAGTACTTCTCGCCCACATCAGGCGCCTTCCTCTGAGCACTGGGATTCGCAAGCTCAATTCCCTGTACTGGCGTGAATGCCAAGGAACTACTGAGCCCACTCTCATTGCCTGCAGAGGCAGCAGCTCGCTGGCGCTTCATGGCCTGGATGTTTCGTTGGAGCTGCTTCTCCTTGGACACCTTCGCGGCCTTCAATGGAACCGGCTTGCCTTCGAAGTAGGGGAGTCCCAAGCCCCACTCCTCAGTGTAGATATTGTCCTCCGGATCCACGCCAAACTTGGTTCGATTGAGCATCTTCTTGAACTCTGACTGTCCATACTTCTCCTTGATTCGCCGATGCCTCTTGCCACCTCTCTTGGCACGAGGTCTGTCTTCAGGAGGTGGCAAGGTCTTCTTCTGCTTGGCGGGTGGTGGCTCCTGTGCCTTTGCCAAGGATTGGAGGATCTTCTCTCGCAACTGCGTCCCCACCTGTCCTAGCGGAGACTCGTGGAAGGAGTCGACACGAGCGGCCAAACCACACTTGCCCGCCACCAGCTTCACGGCGCGGTTTCGAAACTCCATCGGAGTGCTCACAATGAGGTCACTGAGGAAAATGATGCCCTGAGTACTGTAGGCTCCAGAGCCCATGCCCAGGAGCGACTTCTTCTGAGAGCCTACCAAAATGATATTCTGAGCTGGCATACGTGCCAGGTTCAAGAGGCCACCAGCAGCAGTAATCAGCTTGGCAGCGAGAGCCGCACCAAGCAATGCTGAGAGGTTGGGAGCCAAACCGGACATTCGACTTTCAAGGTACAGCAAAACATCTCGCTTGCAGTCATTGAGCAGAAAGGCTTCATCACAGCCCACCAGCATCTTGTCCAATTCTTGCCTCGGTAGTTGGGTGCCAGCAGTCATGGAAGCCGTCACGGTGATGGCCATGACAGCTGTGTTTGGCAGGATGTCTGAGAAATCAATCGTTGTGAGGTCCTTTGTGTTGCCAATACGCTGGACCACCTGCAAATAGTCCAAGGGGCTGGTCACAATGGACTCTAACTCTGGGAACTTCTTGGAATAGATATCCCGCACGAAGCGGTGGATGTTCATCATCTCGTCATCAATCTCTCGCACCAAAGAGTTACATCGGGTGATAAGGGGATACTCGGTGTCCTCCTCACTCAGCTGCTTGCCCAGCTCCAGGGCAGGCTGCTCATCTTTTCGTTCGCGCACCTCATCCATGAGCTTCTGGAATTCATCATTCTTCAACATCTCTGAGACACTGGAGCTGCCGCTCTTCTCGTTGTTCATAAACACCTGAATCGCATCTGGGATCTCCTCCGCCTCCTCTTCATCATCTACTAAGGCAGCAGTGCTCAAATCCTTCTCGACCGGAGCTTTCTTCCCTTTTTTGGCCTTCTTTGCTGCCGGTTCCTCTGCTTCTGGATCTGGCTCCTCTAAATCCTCAAGATCCTGAAGGAAGGAGTCTGCCAAAGTCGCCATCACCTACCTGAATGCGCGCCACCAGGATGGAACGTCCCTAGTCTTTCAGCGCTGAAGCCAAACGTTTGCAAACACACCTCTGCTTGTCAACTGTCTACAAGGTCACTGTTGTAAATGAGGTGCTTGCAAATAACATCACAAGCCACGCACAAGACTCGCAAAACTCTTCTAACACCCTACATGACCACTCTCCAAACCTGATTCTTGCAAATTCCTGCGCAACACTTCACCCAGTGAAACGGGCACCTACTTTGCCGCACCTGCAATCTTTTGCGCGAAGATCAAGGTGGGCATTTTGACAATTCCCGTGAGCACCGATCTGGCCGAGCAGGCCTGGTGGGGAGGACATGGCATGACGGGTCGAACAACAGAGCTTGGTGGGGGTGGGGCGTGGGTCTGACTCCAAAAATTGCCAGATTTCACCACCAGCCTACCAGCCTTGCTCAAGTGGTACATCAACTGGCAGGAGGACCAAGTCTTGCCCGTGCCAGGGCCAGCGATCATTAAGCACCTACAGGGCGAGTTCTTTCTTCTGCTCTGGACATGGAACCCCAAGCATGGCCCTCTTGGAGAAAACCTCAAGCACGCATGGGCATTGCCAGATGTTCCTTAGACTGCAATCATTGTCAACATGGCTCTTACCTACTAGTGTCCCGTCTGCGAATTCACATGCCCGGCCTGTAGATCAGCTGCTGCCCTTTGAAGCGTTCACCATCAGCACCCAAGAGCAAGTCTGCAAGGCTCTTGATGTCCGGGGTCTGGACAGTGGCGCTTTCAACCTGAGAGCCCAGCAAGCCCGCCATCAAGATTCATGAGTTCCAGCACCCACAACTCACAACCCCCAACCTGGGCTAGGCCGAATAAGCTCCGAATTCTCAACTTTCTTATCAAGCACGTCATCTCAGCACAGCCACTGCAGTATCAATATAAATCACCTGTGTCTCCACATCCATCTTCCGGCATGTGATACTGTCCTCAGCAGCGATGTGCTTCAAACAAGGCACAGTTTTGCTCCAGTTTCGCAAGCAGCCCAGCTTACAGTCCCTTGCGTTGAGCAGCAAGCACCAGCTAACCCTCTAGACAAACCTCAGGACTGCTTGGTAGTTACCTCTCGCCTGCCGCATCTGTTTCTGGCAATCCACCAGGTCCCAATACAGGTCGGCCACTTGATTCATACGCCTTCTCAAACGCAGACTCTCTGGTGTCTAGCTCACACAGAGGCACTCGGTGAGTGTAGTCTCATGAACACCCCATCATGAGCGCAAGAAAGTAGAAGTAGAGCGCCTAACCCATGCTTCCATACTCAGTCGGAGGGTCTTCTAAGAACCGGAAGCGGTCCCGCTGGATGGCGCAGTACTTCAGATAGGCCTCGCAGAAACTCACCCAGAACGTGCATTTTTGAAGCAAAAAGAGATCAGGCGTTGGACTGGTTGGCGAATTCTCCCACACATTCCGCGGACCCACTAAACATCGAAACATTGGGGCCTTGGAGTCGAAGTCCGCACAGTGGCCCTGGACGTGGTTGGCTTCGTTCAACTCCACCAGCTGGTCTTGGTCTGCGGACAGTGGTGATAGTAGACCAACCAGCCCGGCAAAGAATGCTTCTTTGGGCATAGCACTTTGCGGAGTACTGAGTAGGGACACGGGCCCAAAGTGCAAAAGGTTGAAGAAGTTTGCAGGCATTCACAACGATAAAAGTATCGCAATCAGCATGGTCAGCATGAACTAGTCATGCCAACATCCAGCCCAAACATTGGAAATCCAGTATAACTATAAAGCAAAAACAAGCGGGAGACAAGCCTGTCCCGATGTCAATTCAATTCTAAATGAATGTATAATGTTCCCAACTTTCGCCTCCGTCATGGGCCGAGAAGCAAGAAGGTCCTCTCGTTTGCGCTAGAGCATTGAAGCCCGTCAACCCCGGAAACGCCCCGTGTGGCTGTCCCGAGCCCACCCACCTTGGCCGTCCACCTTGATGGCGAAACGGTTCCACTCCACTTGGCGGCTAACTTGAGCGTTCACCAAACGTCCATCCTCGAGCAGAATGGTCAGCAAACTTCCACCTCCATCAGTGCAAGGCACCAACCGGAAGTCCAAAAAACAATCAAGAAATCCACTTTCAAGTCGGTGGTCCCCGACCGTGAACTTATGTGGACGATGGGCTGTCGAGTTCAACGGCGCCCAGACTCCCTCCCTCAGAGCCCAGTTGGCTTGCCAAGTCAGTTTAAAGCTTGCCGCATGGCAATCAAGCTCCTTTCTCTCTGGGAAAGGGATGACATCTGCTAAAGGTGTTGCTCAATTCACTAGGAGATCGCGCTAGGGGTGGTCTCGTTGCTTGTCGCATCATGGTTATGCCAAACATGAGCCCATGCCTGCGTACTCCAGCTGCGGTAGCTGGATTGCCTGGTCAAGAGTCAAAAGCTGAGCGAAGCATCTGGAGCATGAGGACTCGATGCACATCACAAACAAATCACCTGGAAAATCTTACGATCTACATGGCCTTTGCGTTTTGAATCGCTCTGGCATGGTCTACATTACCCCCGCTCCCGCCGCACGGACGAGGGTTGACCGCCTTGGCCAGGCGGGCGTCAATCTCCTGTTCATCCTGGGTGTTGTCGATCCTCACCTAAAAAAGGAGATGAACTATGATGCACTTCAATATGCCCTTCAAAATGTAATGTACTCATCTGCACGCAGGACTGAAACGAAGCTTCTCAAATACAGAACTCGATGCATTGAGAGCACTTAGGAAGTCATCAACACATTCACACAAACCATCACTGAAGACAAGCAAAAATGATCAAGAACAGTGAAGAAGAAGAGTGCAGTAGTTATGGCACATGCAAGGAAAACGAAAACTTGGAAAACGGTCCGCAAGACAAACGCACACCTCAACTTCCAAGACAGCACTTGGAAAACTTGCTGCCCCGGCTGGGCAATTCTACATGAAACAAAGTGATGAGACGCAAGGCACCTGGTACTTGCAATCTTTCTTGAAGAAATCGATGGTGGAGCCACACCTGCACTGCAAAGCTTCGTTTTCCGCGCCACGAAACAAAATCAGAAACAACAAGGGTCTTGTTCCAGGGTTTGCCGGGCCTGTCAATGCAGTCTCTTCCCAGCGCGTTCCTGGGTGCAGTGATCTGGTGATGAAACATGCCGTCAGTCAGCCGCATGTAATAATATAATATAAGTGTAGAAACTGGACAGCAGCCCCGCGGTTTGAGGAAAATCATCGTCCAAATCATCTCTGAGAGTGCCCGCTTCTGTAGCACAAGGTGGTAGCCAACCAACGTAATTGTGCAAAACTATCGCAATAGGCGGAAATTTTACTGCAACCTTAGATCCCATTTGATATTTGCTTGGGAAGCTAATTACTCTTCCATTCCGCGCCCGCAGCTGGAGCAAACCTTTCCTATCATTCGCTAGCTCAGCGGCCAAGTATCTGCTTCAAAATCCCAAACCGCGACCCTGCTTTGCACATGAAAGCCTTGTCGGTGCACTTCACCGTGACTCTGGGACGCTTTCCAGGGACCTGCAGCCAAGCCGGGCCAAACAGGTCACGCGCTGTCGACCGTTTTGGATTGGGCCCTCGGGCCATTCAGCTTGCAAG